CTTCACACTGTATATAATGATATATGATAAATACTCTTGCAGCACTGCTTTGTAAAAAGAAATCCCACAATGTAGATCACATTAGATAATCCCCTTTTGGGTGCATTACCTGGGCGGAGCCTGTCTGGTGTAAGGGGAGGAGTTGGATCTATGAGCAGAGCTGCGGTTCATGAAGGACATGCCCAGCAGACGTGCCGAAGACTCGCAGTCCTCCTCATCCTCGTCCAGGTCGTTCTCTCCGAGGCCTCGCACAAGCAGCCGTGAACTGCGGGGCTCATACACTGCCTCATCTGGGTCAAGAGCAGGAAACGTCTGGGGAAAGAATTTGTTAGCCACTGATTTTTTCTTCTTTTTTTTATTTACAGTTAAGCAGTGTAGTGTTTCCCGTAGATTTTAATAACTGGATTGTCCTCACAGGTCAATTCATTATCAGAGGGCAAGATGTCAGATAACGAGGTCAGTGAGGAGAGTGAGGGCAGGGACAGCAATAATGAGAAGTAATGCACGGACGACTGATAAAATTAGATGACTGCAGAGAGGATACAGGTCGTGGTGACCAAGGGAACAAATGTTCACTCTGTTTAAATTACATGAATTGGTAATATTCTTGTTATTCCTGTTACGCTGTTATATCATGTGTGTTTTGAAAATGAAAGCATGTACTATATTATTATTCCAAAAAGTATGTATAAAGTACTAATCACATCATGTTTTTTTTTTATACACACTACCATTTTGAGGTTATGACACTGAATAATCCAATTAACAATCTGACACATCTGTGTATGCCCACGTGATGATGCAGGGCGAACCTGAGGAAGCTACAAAACACATTGTTGGCTCACAATAAAGTCCCCTTCAGTGTGCGGGGATTTTTCATTTATTTTATAAGACTGTGATTATGAGGTTTTATGACATCTTATGTCCTTTGTAAGAGAGGATGGAAGAGGTAAACAGGTCAGGGTATCACTAAAGAACAGGATATTAATACTTTCAACACACCACGGGGGATCACCAGTGTGATCATGATGCATACTGTGGTTTAATTTGTTTAAAGCTGTCTACAGCTATAACAGATTTACAGTCATATGGGATGTAATGAACTGAAAGAGAGCAGATGAGCATCATCTAACAAAAGTTGTCAGCCAACCTCCAATCAACAGATACTGATCTACAAGTCTCCTCTGATCTTTTTCAATTATCAGCCTTGAGAATCAAAGCACATTTGTGCCGAGTGATGCAAATCTACATTCTGTTTCAAGCTCAAATATTAAGTCTTGAAATAAAGATGTGCATAACATGCATGGGAAAAGATGACGTGAGCATACCGGAAAGGCAGAGGAGTCTTTTGCTAAATCAACAACATCAGGCTCTTCTTCAAACATGCTGTTCTCGATCATGTTCCTCGGCAGGTTGGCTCGCTCTGCAAGACAAAGAGGAAGTGAAAATAGACGACAAATTCTCAAAAGGAGAAATGAGAGGGGAGCGAGAGATGTCAAAAAGGTGCGCACATCCGAGAAAGTTGAAGTACTGGGTGCTGGACAAAAGACAGAAAAAGGATTGAGTCCACACACCAGAAGCTGCTCCAATTAAGTAGAATTAAATGGAATATCACATGTAACGTTTCGGGCCCTCGTCCTTCATCAAACATGAGAGAGAAACAGAGAACTGACTGGAAATGATTGACACAGAGGAGACGGTGCTGTTTTTGGCAAATAAGTGAGGATATTTTTGTATGTGTCGCAAACTATGGTGGCAAGCCATTTTTAAACACAAAGCCTTGTTATAGCTTGTGAATGTGCAGGCAACCTGAAGACTTGTTCAACAACCTTTTTGAGCACAAGGTATTACAAAATCTGACTAGAGAGAACATCCGTTTCCTTCAAAATTGATTTACAGCAAAAGTAGGAAAAACACTCATTCTCTGGGCCAAATCACATGATATTGCTGTAGGGTATAAAAGCATTCATTTTTGAGTCAGCCCTTGCCTTTTAAAAATCCATGTGACCACAAGATTCTTTATTCAGCATTTCTTGAAACAATAAGAGGCATGTTCAACTTCCTAATTGAATAATGAAAGTAGTAAAATGTTCTGCAATGACAGCCTCTTGTCCGGGTCACATTCCAGTCATAGTCTTAAAGTCAAAGACAATACATTATCAGTGTCAGCTGTTGATAGACTTATTGGAAAGTGCAGAGAATCTTTATACACAGTGTTCATTCAGAGCCAATGACGCCAAAAAAAAGGGTGACCCTTCATTCAATCTTTATTTGTATAACGCCAGTTCTTAACAAATGTTACCTCAAGACACTTTACAAAAGAGCAGATAAAAGACCGTACTCATTGTTATAACATCTACAAAGACCCAACATTAAGCCAACGTGAGCACTAAGCAACATTAAGCAACAGCAACAAGAGGCAGAAACCTTGAGCAAAACCAGACTCATGTTCAACAGCAGTCTGCTGTAACCTTTGGCTTCCCAAAAGGAAGACAAGACTGCAGTAATTCATGAGTTGAATCTGTTCCTCTTCTTCCCTGCACAGTGATAAGACTGTATGGGCTGCGCTGAGTTTGAATCATTGCTCTGGTATGACTGTCTATTAATAGGCTAACAGCTAAGTAGATGGTTACTATAAATGTGCAGAGGACGATTTGATCAAAACTAAGACGGATAAAAGTTAAGCCAAGTTGCTAAAGAATAAATGTAATACAACATCTACTTCTAACAGCTGTGGGACAGTCATGTGATGTGACGGGGGAAATGTATTTCATACAAGCCGGATGCCATACGACTGAAGCAGAAGGTGTGATGGTTATCACGAGACTACCATAACAAACCCTCTTTCAAATGTGCACAACCAACACAACCTCTGCTTTCCTCATACTTGTGTGGAAATACAACAGTCAGGCATTATCTGCAGCCTTCCTGTTTACTCAAAACAATGCATTAACCCTACCGCAGAGTCAAACAAATGTATGCAGACAGACAATCTTTAATTGAAAACAAAAAGGTAATGAAAGAAGCATGTGCTAACCATTTCTTATCTTTTCCTTGTTTAAAAAAAAAAAAAAAAAAGATGCTATTGTGTGACTTTAAAAAAAATCCCTTAGTCACGACAAAGAACAAATAGTGAAGCTGTAGATTTGTTGAATGCTTCTTATAGTTTGGAAACAACCTGAAATAATATAAAACACTTAAAAGAGGACTTATCAGCTCTCCTTACAAAAGAAACAACACAGCTACTACCAGCTGTTGCGGTTCCTGTTTTTGTTTAAACACACAACTCTTACTGTGTTTCTTTCAAAAGGTCCCAAGGCAGCTGGGTTTTTTGTTTTTTTTAAACCAAAGGGTTACGTAAACAGACTTTGAGCTTCACAAACCATCCTCTAATGCTCACAGGGTTTGTGACATGTTTATCATCTCCCTGCAGGACCGTCACAAAGACAGACGCACAGATTAAGTTAGCTGTCGTTTTAGCATGGTAAATGTCAAGCCCAGCACATGTCCTCGGGTGAATGTCACTTCCATCCAGCTTGCTGCTCCTGTCCTGTTTGTTATGGCCCGCTGCGGTTAGCTTGTGTCACACAATCTGTCTCTCTTACCTGTGCTGTGGTTGTCAAACGGATCCATGGTTGAGGGTCTCTCACGGCTGCCCTCGACCAAAACAAGGTAATGTTTACAGCAGCCGAACAGACGAGGTTATTTCTCTCCGGTCAGACCGCAGGGTGTCACGCACTAACAATAAAACACTGTCTTCACTGTACTTCTGTTTTGCTACGTAGCTGCTAGCTTGAACTAGCCAACTTCTGACAGTGTTAACCGACTGAAAGACATCCGGTGAGCTAACGCGAGCGGATTTTAACAACTTTGTCGCCCATGTTGATTTTGCCGACTACAAGATGAAGACAAGCGTGATTGTATTAAAAGCCGAACAACAAATTTTACTTTCACACATGCTCGGCGAACTAACGAAAATGTCCAAATGACACTGGTTTCCTCTGTAACCAGTTGTTGACAACTTCCTATCGAATTACAACACTGGAATCCTATTGGATGTTGCACAAGGGGGCGGGGCTATAGCGCTGTGACGCTCCCATCTGTGTGTCCTACTCATAGAACCAGGGATGGGGCAACTTTGGTCACAAGCAAGGGCCACATTCATTTAATTCTCACAGCCAGGGGGACAAATTGTAGTATACAAAAACGATTACAGTCAATTATGTCTCAAATTTAACTCAACATATGCCAGTGATCAAATATTATTATGCACATATTTCTGGTTTTCATGATTTCATGGCAGATTTAGTCATGTTTTCTTCATGTTCCCGATTAATTGATGTGTAAAAATTGACCTGAGGGCCACGTTGAGGGTTGATGGGGGCCGCATGTGGCCCCCGGGCCGCCAGTTGCCCATCCCTGTCATAGACTGTAAGGTCCTCCTACACTTATGAAGACAGTTGTGTCACCATTTCAATCATTTTCTTTCTTACCAATATATTTGTTTTCATTAGGCGACATAATTATAAGACAAGACAGACCTTATACAATCTTAAAGTGTAAAATGACAAAATAGAAACAAAACGCGGCAGAGAAGACGAGACAACATGACAGAATACAAAACAAGAACACACTCCTAGACAGTGCATTTCATCACATCAGTTTAAGAGGTAGGCTACATTGTGATTGGACACAGATCATCATAAGCCTATAGGCTCCTTGCTATTTCTTGTCGTACTTAATTTCTAAAAATAAATCAGTCAAATCACTTTTAAATGCTTAACCTCAACCTCTAGCTTAACCTTACTCTATTTATAAGTTTTACTTTTACCCTTTAAACAATTCTGAACCTTATTGCCACCATGTTAAAACCAAGTCTTAGTTATAGAACATATAGTTGATATGATGAATGGCAAGTACACCTAACAAATGAAAACACAGGCATAATAGTTCCCTAACACAATCATATGTTCCATTTACCATAACTCACACAAAGGAGCTGTGATTTGCAACTCACCTTTTATTAGTATATTAAGCATCCATTACACGATTCAACTTTGGAATCGAACTCTTTCTTGTTTTATTTTAATTTTAATTTAAAAAAGGTATTATTGATAGGAGAGTTTCATAGAAACAATTTTGCCAAAGCATCACTGCAAAAATGTATCCAGAATTAAAAATGCACAATATTAAAGCAAAAATGTCTCTATCTCACAAACACACACCAATACACACGCCTACACAGAAACACACACACACCCACATAAACATCACACCATGGTATGTATACAGCTACTCATAAAAAAGTCTACTGCTGCATATTCAGTACAGTACTACCAATTATTCATTTCTGTTGTCAAAAAAACAAGTTCTCTTGAAAAAAAAGATGCCAAACTAACAACTCTACAGTTCAGAACACATATTTTGCAAATAATCACACAAATACAAATTTAACAAAAGCTTTCAAATATCATCATTACAACCTACAAATAATCCTATCCTACAAATGATGTAGAATATAACTTGAATATTTCCGTGATGAAAATGTAGTTGCTGTCTGGAGTATTTAACAATACATGTAAGTACTCTGGAGATGAAGGGAGATGGTTTGCGTGGACAGGGCCCCTCTTCTGCTTCCATGAAACCCCACTTCTATTTCTGCTGTCTTCACTTCATTTGCTCATTAACCCAGAGTCTTAGTGTCTCCAGGTTTCTCTGAACCCAGCGGACATTTTTCTGCATGTTGTCCAGGACAATCTGGGTTGCTCTTAGCTGAGACGCCTGCTCTTTGATGGACTCAAAAAACAACTGCACCTGAGGGTCAAACACACTGATATTTAGAAAAAAACACGAACAAACACACATGTATAGATTTCACACATTATGGTGTCTTAAAGCTAAGATGTTTAGGTCAGTAATTGTCAACCGAAACACATTCTTGAGAGGCTTTGAGTACAAACACTAGGATAAGTTTCTAAGTCATTTTGAACTGTTTGACCATGGCTATCATTAATTATATTGCTATTTAAAATGCAAACAACAATGAATTTTTACTAGCACTTTCACCTCAGTGAGTTCTTCTGGAGATGAGAACTGGCCTGTGGTGCCAACAAGGATGTGTCTGATACAAGATGAGCCCAACTGGAACCTGCAGAGAAGACAGAAGTGAGTGAGTGAGTGAGTGAGTGATAGAGTGAGTGATAGAGTGAGTGAGTGAGTGAGTGAGTGAGTGAGTGAGTGAGTGAGTGAGTGAGTGAGTGAGTGAGTACCAACCTTTTTACCAGTGTGTCCCAGTTCTTTTTGACAAAGTTCCAGGCGAGATGATGTCCCTGTGGGTTCCTGGCCACCATCAGAATAAGAGAGGACAGGTCCTGAGATCGAATCACTTTCCCCTCCAAACCCAACTCCAACAGTCTGCAACAAAAATACAATACATATATATATATATATCCCGATCTTTTAATTGCCTGAGTATCTAACAGTCCTAAAAAGCCTCCACTCACATCTCTTTAACATGTCTCAAAAAGAGAGGATATCTGTTCGCATATGTTCAATACAACATTTTATCCACATGGTGGCAGCAAAATCCAAGTGAAAATATAAAAGAAAGAAGACGAACCTGTGTAGTTTATTTGTGTCTGTGGTGCAGGTCAAAGCATACAGAATTGTGTTTTTCTGAGCTGCAGAGAGGGAGATGTTGTATGTGTGTAGGAGTAAAGCCCAGCCATGGTCGCCCTGAGCTCCTACTGAATACACCGTTTCAGCCACATCAGTGGGCAAGCTGAGGTAAACAGAAGCAGAGACATGAGAAAATATCCAACTATACAGTCAAGAATGGCACAAGGAATTGCTACTGTTTATGTGAGTCATATCAGCAGGTTTTTGACTCATATTGATATGTGTAGAAACAGAATGTAGACGGACATACTTGAGAGTACCGTTGGACTGGAGCCAGTCTTTGAAGCTCTGGCGTGCTCGCTCCACACAGGGAGGGTCATGCAGGTGGCAGGCCAGGGACAAGACTTCTGACCTCAGCCGCCGCTCTGACACAGAGCCGTTGTTGCTCCACGTCTGCTTGTCAATGACAGCACGGAAAAATTTCAGGATGTACACCTGCAACAAGAGAAACAGCATGTCAAATGTCAAATGAATGTATGCTGCATTAAGATGCTCACATTAGATTACATATTCTAACTGTGTACTCTTTTCTTCTTACCCCGAGGTTCCTTGTAAGATCAGGTTCGTTTATTTTTTCGACCATCCGGTAAAAGAACTCCAGGTAGCCCAGTCCTTGGAGCAGAGGCACAGTGTGGTTCTCCAACCCCAGGTAACCAATCAGGTCTAAGGCTTTATTCAGTGTAAGATGACCTGCTCTTTAGAGGCATATATGAACACATTTAAATGGTTATGTGCCTGTACAGTAGGGATAATAAAATTAGTTTGGTTTGTTGGTTTCTACGGACACACAAACTAAAACATCACTCTGTCTCTATTGTTGTCTCACACAAACCCACTAACATACGCAGATGTATGCTTACGTCACCAGTTGGAAGGCGTTGTGTATCAACTGAGTCCTGTCTTTGTAGCTCAGAGCTGTGTGGTTTTTCCTCAGCAGGTTGGTCATCTCATCCCAACCGCCGTCCTCATAATGAACCACATAATATCCTGTCATGTCACTGTTGACTTTCACCCAGCTGACTTCCTCCCCTATATTTATACTGTCTATATGACACATAAAAAACAAAGAGAGGTTAATTAACTAACTGATGGCAAAGCATTGATGAAGGTACAAATAAAATATATATTAAGCAAGTTTATTTTTTAAAAGCATTTACTTCATAGTTATTAATTGTCTATCTACCAGTGTATTTGAGTTTACACTAAAATATGACATTTAGCTTTTACTGCTGTTACCTGTGAGGGTTGTCATCAGATGTCTGTGGATTGTGCTAGAAGCATCTGTCTTGTATGTTAAAGGGATGTGCCAAAGAAAACTATACAAGAGAAGAGAGCGTCACTTGAAATGCAAAGTTTGAATCTAGTAAGCTTAAAATGTATGTAAGGATAAGACCAACAAACAAGAGTATATTGTTTAGTGCATGCTCACCCCTGCTGCACTGTGGACCACAGGGGGTCAGAGGGCAGCACAGTCCTCAGGAACCTTTCCTGTCTGAGCAGCAGGCGAGACCCCGCCCTCTTTACTCTCACCAGAGGAATCCCCTTCTGCAGAGTCCAAGTGTTCATCATGGCAGTCAGGTCCATGTGTTCCCCTGCAAACAGGTACTGTAGGAGACAATTAGAGATCAACATGTGTTAACACAAAAACCACAGAGTCAGAATATATTGTTGTAAAGGTTAAATTAAGGGCGATGGGATGCGTGGTTGAAGTTTAAATGTTAACTGACTGCATTCTTTGAGGCCTGGCTGCTGCTGTAACAGTGTTTCCCTGAGATGAAATCCTCCTCTGAGCAGGTCTGTAAAACAAAAGCAAAAATTTTAGCATATAGATTATAAGTGACCATGTAAGTCTTTTAGAATTTAAATATGATATTCCACTTTCATGAAAGCTGTTGATTTCATTTTCTTTTGATCCAATAAGAAAATAAACTGAAGATTTAAAATGCATCACACAGGATCCCATGTTTCGCTTTCATATTTGTCAATGGCTTGTTACTGTGGATTCATAATCAATAACCATTGTATTTCTGGGCTAATAAACCAAACATATGATGGTAATAACAACAGACATGGTCTTCACTTGGATTAATAACATGCCTGTAGGAAGTCTCATTGATTTATAAACCAGAGCTAAATAAATGGTAAAAATAAATTATTGTCTCGAAGGAAAAAGAAAATGCGCATCAATATCTAAAACCCTAGAAGATAAAAAAAAAAAAAAAAGGTCCACACAGTGAGTGAGTTTTTACATTGGCTAGGCTGTCCCACAGGTCCTGATTGTGTGCGTTTGTGTAGCTGTATTTGCGGAGGTATCGTACTATCCCACTCTGGAACACGTCCTCTGTCAAAAAGTGTCGCAGCATGTGCAGAACACATGCTCCCTGGAGGGAGGGGGGGGGAGAGAAAAAGGTATTTTTAATCCATGAGTCATTAGAGACTAGGCAGGATGAATTTTGTCAGTCAGGAACATCAAAACTTGGTATTTTTTAAAAAAAAAAAAAAAATATAGAGATCTGTAGTTACGCAGTAGCAACTGTCATTGTCAAGAGGCTCATAGCCTATTTCTTTCAAACCAGTGAAACCCAAATGTTGTAATAAATGCATACTTTTTCATAGGAGACTGTGTCAAACATCTCTTTGATCTGAGTGGGGTCCTCTGCTGGGCTTGATATTGCTCGAGAGGAGTTCAGCGAATCAAGACCAACTGCTGCAAAACAGGTGTGCAGTAAATATTCCTCCTGCAAGATGAAGCACAGAATACACAGTCAGAGATCAAGGGCTTCATATTGATCCAGAAATCTTCATATACAACAGTGAGTTCCAAAAAACACAAGTATTGACAAAAAAAGCATTCCAAGCATCTGATAGAGTACAAATGTGTATCACAACACCGAAGCCAGGTATTCTGAATCTGTCAGTTAACATTACAGCAGACTGTAACTGTCTTTATAATCAATAGCACAGTATATCTCAGAATCACTCAGCAGACTGTTATTTCACTGGTTGCATTATAAATTTAAACATGTAGATACATGTAAAAGTAGCTTGTCTGTGGTATCCATGGATGCAAACAAAGTAGCAGAGTAAAGGATAATGTTTGGGTTTTTTGGAAACCGTCTACCTTCAGTTAAGATGTGATACTTTTAGAATTTCTGATCTGTCGTTATTACTTTTTCATCTATTTGCTGCTTGTATAACTGTTGTATAAAAGAAATAATATAAGAGAAATATCACTCTTGAGGTCCTGATTTACTGAATATCAGCTTATATTGATATTGGTTACAACTTTGTTTAAATAAAGCACTTACTACTTTAAGGTCAGGGTACGTGGCCTCCACTGAAGTGAACTCCATGTATCGGGCAAATCCTTCATTGAGCCAGATATCATTCCACCAGACCATGGTCACCAAGTTACCAAACCACTACAGAAGAGAGTGTTATTAACTTTCTGCACTCTTCCTGAAGTTCACATGAGCATAATGGAGTTCAAAAACTATACAAGCATGTAATATCTCTCACCTGATGGGCAAGCTCATGGCCAATCACCATGGTAACCCAGAGTTTATCAGAAACAGAGGATGTGAGGGGATCAAAAAGAAGGCTGGTCTCTCTGTAGGTGGTCAAACCCCAGTTCTCCATAGCACCTGACTGAAAGTCTGGGATTGCTATCAGATCTACAGTAAGAAAAGGCAGGGGAAACAGAAAAATAATTAACAACAACAAAAAAGAAGAAATGCTGTGTGGCTGAGCAAAGAGTACCTTGTTTTGGTAGAGGATAGTTAATGTTGAAATACTCCTCATAGAAGTCTAACATTTTGACAGCAACCTCCAGGGCATAGTGTGTTTGCTGAATCTTCTCTGGGACAGCATAAATGGAAACCTAAGATACAAAGCGGAATATAAACCCCCACCTGTAAAAAACCTTCTCTGGGTTTTAAGAAATTAAGAAATGGCAGAGACACCACACCTGCACCCCAGAAGATGTTGTTGCAGTGACGGATTTGAAGTCACAGACGACAAAAGCCACGAGGTATGTGCTCATCTTAACGCTCACATCAAAGTGGTCCTCAAGCAGGTCGTCACTGAAATGAACGGTCTCAACCTGAAATACATCAACAATTCACTGCAGCCTTTTTATCCAAACATTAAAATGTTTATTATTACTATTTTAAAAACTCACCACAGGCATGTTGGACAGAGCGATGAACTCTGGATTTCTTCTTATCCGAACCGTGAATTTGGCCTTGAAGCTCGGCTCATCGAAACACGGGAAGGCCATTCGAGCGCTTGTGGGCTCAAAGTGAGACGAAGCTAAACTTCTGCAAGGGACATTGGAAGACACTTGTATTGTGAAGAAAACGTAATATTGTAGCTGGACTCCCCCCTTTACATGTAATACATTTTATAAAGTTTGCAGTGAAATACTCGATCTCCTCTCACCTTGTCTCTCCTGTGCTGGTTCTGTAGCTGCTCTTATAAAGGCCATAGAAGCCCTCTGCTAGTTTTGCTGCAAACTCAAGATACAGAAAGTACTTTTGCCCACTAGTGAGCACCCGCGGGGAGAAAATACCAATCTGCTCATGGGAAGGGTTATAAAGAACGGGAAGAACCTATGAAGAGAAAACACCGGATATACAGTATTTTCAGATTCCGATTTTTTGGTGACATGTAAGGAACATTAAGAGATAACAAGGAGTTTTTGGTTTACAGCTACCTGGTCAGACAGGTGAGCAAGGTTTAGGTCCAGTATGGTGGCTTTAGTGATGTTAAGACCCTTGCTGTGCAAGACAACCCAGTTTGTGTTGTTCTGGACATCAATCTGGATCTGCACTGATCCATTGAAACTGAGACTGGTGAGGTTTGGATGCAGGAGTAGGTCGTAGTGAAGAGGATTAATGTACCTAAGACAAAGTACATGTTCAGATTTTTTATACAGCCACTCAGAAATATATGTTCAACAATATTCATGTAAACTCAGTATGTGGGTCTAAAACAAACACAGTGTGAGGGATACCTTGGCAGGCGAAGGCGGCTCCAGGGGAAGGAAAGATTATCAGGACCCAGAGGAGACCGTTCTCCCACAGGGTGAGGAGGAGTGGATGTTTTTTTAGAGGTGGGCTGAGACCCCACAAGACAGAGATGGAGGACACACAGCACTAATATTTTTAACAACACCATTATAGAGAACCTGTTCTTCCAACACTGATTGAAGAAATGGTGTAACTAAAAGCTGGTCTTATACTTAGTAATATCAATTATAATATGAAGGACTAAACTGTGGTGGTGAGTGTTGATCACCTCCAGGATATGGTTGGAGGAAAATATCTTTTCAGTAACATGTTCCTTGTACCTAAAAGAAAAAAGGACAGGATTAAAATCTGAAACATTTGAATGAGTCTCACTGAGATGTCTTCCCTCCTTTTCCCAAGTTTTATGGCTTTGGTTACGGTTTCAAAGGTCACTGTACAAAACTACTCATGAAGTTTAGTATTATAAACTTCATCCAAAATAAATGTAAAGTTTTTCCCTATAAAGGTTTCAATTTCAGACCTTTCAGAAGTTGAAAGCATCACACCTAGCCTACACTTTGTTGAGCGAGCAGTTTGTAGCCTACTGGCAAACTGAGCTGCTTTCAAATTTTAGGCTGAAAACATAACACATCTCAGCCTGTGGAAATCAAGCATGTGACAAACGGACCACATGATTTTCCATGCGGATAAACAAGATGAGGACACAGCTAAAACTGTGAGGTGACAACAGCTGCAGGAGCAGAACTACAGGAGTTCAAATAAGGCTGTCCAAAGGCAGCGGCAGATAACATAAAGACTGTGTAAACTTTAACAACAAATTCACCTGAAATCGAACACGTGTTATAAAGTATGAAGTTATTAAAGTCACTTGTGTCTTGGATCGGCTCCAGAGGTCATGGTTTATGAAAATGAAGCACAAACAACTATCAAAAAGCTTTTACCTCGGTCATTGCTGCTTTATCATTCTTCCTGATGTTAACTTTCACTTTCTCTTTTCAGCTCAGCTCCCGCCCACTGCAACAGCAGACAAACTATAAATGCGCATTTGTAAGGATGTGATTGTGGGGGAGAAATACAAGTCAAGTATGTCTTAAAAATATACTGCAGCCTACATATTTACCGAGATATTTTAAATGACTACTAAATCATGTTTCAGTGCACTTGTGAATGAATGTTAAATATTATAAAAGTGTTTAATAGTACATTTCAACTGGCACACATGTCACACACATTAGTCTACATTCAACATTGTGTGTGTGTGTGTGTGTGTGTGTGTGTGTGTGTGTGTGTGTGTGGTGTGGTGTGGTGTGGTGTGTGTGTGTGTTGATATTATCAGTCTCTTACCTCAGATCTAACAGCTTTTGCAGGTGTGTCTCCAGTTGTTCAGCAGACTCAACTGGATTTCTACAGTCTGTTACTTTGCTGTTCATTGTTGTTCTCCCCCTGTGTTTGTGTGTACGTGTGCGTGAGTGGTGTGTGTGTGTGTGTGGAGGGGTATCCATTGTCAGGATAAGGTCACAACAAAGAGGAATTTTAGTCCAGTCCCCCACAATGCAATGCTCCTGGCAAAGCCAAACTGCCTGCCCCCATTTCTAACACACTCAAATACACAAGGTACTCAAACACATGCACACACAAACACCAAACAGTAAACAGTGAAGCAACTCAAAACAATTCAGACATGACTGAGCCTCACAGCGGACTATTTTACCTTCCTATTATCTATTTATGGACAGGTAAGTCATTTCAATTTATTAATAACAACCATGTAGTGTTATTTGTTTAAATATGCAAAAAATAAAGTTAGCTTTTTTAAATCGTTGTTAAAAACATGGCCAACATGTTTGAGTTGAACATCAAGTAAATGCAAAACATTTCTTTTGTAAAGACCAAAGTCAGAAAATAGCCTTGAGGGTTTTTAATCATTCTTTAAGTATTTTTATTACAAATTCAGAGAAAATATAAAGAGTGTACAACTTTTTCTACTTAAGTAACAGCTTTCAAATCTCCAAAACCTAAGAAATATTGAAGCACAAACATAAATCTTTGACATTTTTGGAGTTAAATCTAGCAGATTATGTTTCAATGCATTAGAGATTTAATCTGAAACTCTTTTTATCCTTGTGTAGCGTTTGATGTCCATATTATCAATTCTTACTTCACAATCTTAAAAACTTCTAATTTTAAACCATTGCTTCATCACAGACCTGTTTTTCATTCATTTTCATTTGTTGTTTAATTTAATCCAGTTGATAGCCTTTATTTAGCTCTCACCTCAGCCTAAGCATATCGTTTCTTTTTGTAATCCTTTCTCACCTGATCCTCCATCTTCCCTCAGGAGGAGTAGAGGGAGGCGTGCTGGCTTCTCTGGCTCCTCCGGTCCACCTGTCAGGTGAAAGACTCGGCTGGACAATGCTGGTCTGTATGGTCTCTGACTTCAGGACAGGGCACCTAGAGGTAAACTGGAGGTCACCATCAGAATGTCACATGTCCAGCTCGCCGTTCAGACTCTCTGTAAAAAGTAAGCATCGCAGCCACAGTGCTGTGGCAATCATCACTGTGGCCAGCAGAGACTGGCCATCCTACAGCTGCTCTGTGACTCAAAGACGACGGGCCAAAGTAATCAGGAGACATCATACATCCTCAGTAGGTAGGACTGAAGACGATCAGGTGTGAGGACACCAGAAGTTTTTTTCAATCTTTAACACTAACAAACAAATGTAACTTAATGTTTAATTAACAATTTTTTTTTATAAAATCAGGTCATCAAGACAAGTTCTGCTACGAAGAGGAAGAGACGGGAGGTAAATATCTTCTAGCAAACTTTTTTTTTTAAATCCTGGGGACTCAAATTGCAAATGTTGTCTCATATGTCGGTCTGTGTGGTTTGATTTCCAGACGTGGTTGTTTGGACTAACACAGTGGTTGTCCTGATACTGAGGCTGCTTCTCTTTAAAATAATCATCTTTAACACTCTGATGACCACATATGCTGTTATTAAGTGGTAAGAGATACATCTGTTGACTTTATTATGACTTATATTCATAGTGTTGTCAATGTGTCTTATGTTACACAATGTGTAAGTGTCTCAAAGATCCTAACCATGAATTTGAACTTTCAGATGATTGGAAAAGGAGGCCTGCAGATGAACCATGTGACCTTAAAAGGAAACAAACCAAGAGGAAAACTCTTTATTGTCTGAAGTCACCGAGGGGGTTGGGCACAGTCCACTCTTGAAGTTAACTTTGATAGAATGTTTGTACGCTGTGTTTTGGACTTGAATCTTGTATTAATGCTAAGTTATCAGGATCACTGAGCAGCGGGTCTCAATGCTCTGAGTCTTTGGCGCGCCTTTCCTTACTGACAGCCAGGTGTTTGCAGACTGTGACAGTTGACGACAGATTATGTTTGTGAGGGCAGACCTGGTATCTGATCCAAACTTAACCTCAGACAGGTGGGTTAGCGCACATTGTGCTATGCATATGTTTGAGAAAAACTCTGTCTTACTTATTTTTTCAACTTACTTGGATTGTTGGGAAGACTTAAGTCAAGATTGTTGGTAGTTTACAAAAAGAAACAATTAGCTTGAATGAGACATAAATAAACAGAAAGGAAACTTGAACCATTTTGTATTTATTGTTTTTTAAATAAAACGCTTGCACACCGTTTTTTTGAGCACCTTGAGTAGCACAGACATAGCAACAAAGCACCACTAAGTGGCAGTACAATCACATCTGACATTATTTAAATTATTATCCAACAGCAAGAATATGGAGCTTCACTTCCTCTACAGGACTCTACGATCATAAATAAGTTAAGTATTTCAACATTGATCAGCCACTCTTCACCAAAGTGACACGCACAAGATGCCCAAAACTGAAAACCAACTCATACATCCAACCAAATGGGGCATAATACTACAGAAAGTTACATGTTATAAGGCTCATAGTCTGAAGGGTCTATTAGATATTTAATAGTACACATTTTCCACAACACACAGCTGGTTTGCAGTGTTTTGTATCTTTAATGTATCCCAGTTAGGAGCAGCTCTTCAATCCTGGCTTTAGGAGTAAAACTGTCTACAGTAGAAACATTTAAACACAGAGAGAGTGAGGAGGAGACGTGCTGGTTTAAACAGTGAGTTCTGGATTTTTTTGTACATTAAACCATAAATTAACTTTCTTTGGCTCAAATTAAACAAAGAACACACTGAGCCTGTTTGTCACAGACTTTAGGCAACAAAAAAAAAGGTGGGAACACCTGCAACATGATTCTCAGAGGAATAAAAAAACACTGACACAGCCACACACACACGTGCACACACTCATTCACATATATTTGAAATCAGGACTGAGAAAAACATACTCAAAGAGCAACAGAAAGTAATGGCATTTGCTTTAAAGAAAAATCATAATACATTCAAAAGATAACTCACATTGTCTGATGTTACAGGGGACGCTGAGTCAAATCAGCTAGATGATGCATTTGAACAAATATCGCAGCTCCTTGGATTCAACAGACTTTTAGTTCAAATGGATCAAAAGTCAAATTATAGATGGCTCTGAAGTGAACCATCAGCGATTTTGGTGGAGAAAGCAAGTGATGAAGAAACACTGATGTAGATTTGTAAAAAAAAAAAAAAAATCTAAATAAAGTGCTTCTGTTAAAACATCCTCTGTCTGAGGTATTAAAGAAAGATCACATCAAATGACAAAAAAAAATAAAAACCCTACGGCATTACACTGTGCACTGAAGACAAGCTATTTACAGTTTAGAGAGTGTATCCACACTCTCTTCACCCACTCAGGTACATGTGTGTCTCTGTCAAGTGTCCTTTCCAAAGATGATGACAGATTTAAAAAAGCCTTTATTACATGTTCAGTGTTATTCATCAGACGACTGATTCTAAGGGTAAGATGCAGTTCTTCTACAAAAAATCTGGTTCCCAGTACGTGTCCAGCCTGCTGCTTCCTCTCTATGTGAGACAGGTGAGTGATCAGTAACAGTGCTCATAAAAAAAACTCTCTCTAGTGCGCTGCACCCCCACACACACAAAGAGTCCCGCTCCCTATCTTACATCAGTGCTAAGATCACTGCACACAGCAGGACAGCTGGAGAATCACAGCACAAGGTGGACAAAGCAGAGCTGCGAGGGTAGATCCTCCATCTATCCTGGTGAGGGTGGAGACTCTCCATGTCTTTCTGGGCACTGTACGCGGCCACAGTGAAGTTAGCATCCCCGGTGGTTAGGAGGTCAAACACACAGGAGTGATAGTAAATGTCCTGCACCTCCAGCTGTTCCCTGCATCGCTCCTTTGCCTCCTCTACTCCGAAGACCTGCATGGCACCGTAGGGGGATGCTTGTGTCTGTGAGGCGTATTCAGGCCTATGCAGCTGCTGAAGCTGCAGGCCAAGCGCAGGAGGGGAGAGAGGCAGGGGAAGGTGCCCCGCCTGGTCTATTCGCTCTCCGCTGGGGCAGCCGTTCAGACACAGCTGCAGGTCCTGGGTGGCATCGTAGGCTTGAGCCAGCTCCTCTGGGATCCGCACTGCGAGGGTCAGGTAGCGGCCCAGCTGGCGAACGATCACTGTTACACCAATGTATCCAGCGTGCAGCTCCACATGTCGCCCGGGGCTGCGCTCAGATATCCACAGAGCCCGGACTTTTCCAGCTGAACCGTCTGCACCTGCAGATGTGTGAATGGGGTCTCCACTACTGATTGTCCCATCATCGAAGGCAGCAGGGAGGCCGTCTGTAACTGCCTGGTACACCCTCTGCTCTGTGCACCCCTCATACGGTTTAAAGATGATGGTGACCTATAGAGAGGGAAAGACAGAGCATCAGGTTAACTCCAGTAACTTGATCAATTCAAAATTGTGTTTTGAATGAAAAACGTATTGTGCAAGAAATGATTCAACTATACAAACAACTGAATCAGTGTTTGAAAATCATTAAGCTATTTGAACAAAAATTTGAACAACTATTTTTAGCTTCATATGTATATCATCTAGTCAATAAAACATCTTGTTGTTTGGGCAAAAACAAGCTATTTGAAGACTACACTTTGCCCTGGGAATGAGGGATTTTTTTTAAAGAAGCAAGCCTGTTAATAATGAGATTTTCAAAATAAATGATTAGGCAATAACTTTATTTAATTTTTCAAGTAACTTCTTAAAGAGGATCATATCCAGTATAAGTGAATAGTTAATTAATTAGAATCTTTCGGTTAAAAGTTGAGGCTCTCTTTTTTTATATTTATATGACTTAAGTTTAACCTTGAACAAATGAATGAAGAACAAAAAACCCAATATACTTGAAAATGAGAAAGGATCCATGTAAGTAGCCATAGACCAGTGTAGAATTTCTCTCAGTCAAACACACCCACTCAGAAATATGAACATTCAAATATTACACACTGTCATACTGTATTTGAATAATTACCTAATTACTTTTTAACAAGTTTCTATTTCACACAACCACACACAAAGTCACACACTGGGCTCGAGTCCAGTGGTGAGTGGAGGCTGTGCTGGACGCAGGGTGTGGTGTGAGTATTATAGTTCCGGTGAATTGCTGCTTTGTTCACATGACAGACGTGAGGAATGAGGCTTGGCAAGCCATTAAGCCTGGGGGGCTTGAGTGTGTGTGTGTGTGTGGGTGGGTGGTTGTGTGTGTGTGTGTGTGTTTGTGTGTGTAAGTGTGTGTCCCTAATAATCGTGACTAATAACTTGCCCCACCTTTGACACAAGGTCAAAACTTCAGCTCCACAGTTTAGCAAACCTGCTATTTGCTTAATGTGTGTGTGTGTGTGTGTGTGTGTGCCAGTGTGCGCATGACTAAGTGTCTGCAAGGGTGTGTATGTGTTTTAATAATTAAAGCTATCGACTGAGCAAGAGAGGCTAGATCATCGAGGGAAACATCAACAAAGCTTCTTTAACACCACAAAGATCACCTTGTGTGGGTTGTAATCCATTTGGTGATGTTTGTGTGTGTGTCTTTTTTTGTCATACAAGGATATAGTTCTTTAACACGTAAAGTCGTTTAAAATATGTGAAAGCTAAGCTACTTAAGAGACCCACACACTAACAAGAACTTGCAGAGACACACACACACACACACATACACACACACACACACACACACACAAAGTAAACAGTGGGTCCTTTCACACATATCATTCCATGTTATTAGAGGTCAGGCTGCATGCAACCATTAACCCAGTTAGGTTTCCAACACAGCTGCAGTTACAAGAAGAAGGATACACAACCACTCACACTGACGAGTCTGACTGACAAAAAGAGACAGAAAGAGAGATAGAATTGTAGAGTGTGAAGAAAAAGTTTTCCAGACACAAAATGAATCTAAAAGAGGACATTTATAAATAATGACATAAAATGTTTCTCTCTAACACACAAAATACATCAGAGATTACATAGATTACATCAGCTACTTTCATTTAAACTTCTCCAGCCCTTTAAACTAATTAGAACGTCAAAAACTTTTTTATTGTTCTCATCTCACCTTGTTGGTTGCTGTGGCACTGGAGCCAGGCACCACAGGGACGTTAGTGACCTGCACCGACAGATAGTCATTGTCAATAAGAGGCCACGCCCCCTCCACCTTACATGTCTGGAAGCTGTCCTTAAATGTCCTCAGGTGGGGGTCCCCGAACAGCCCACAGAACAGGTACCCAGCCCGAGAGTGGCTATGAGTGTGGCTGTGAGCATGGGTGTGTGTGTGCACGTGGGAGTGTGTGTGTGCGTGCTGGGTTCGACTGTGGTAGTTGCAGGGCTCGTGCAGCACCTCGGGGTGCGTGGAGGACGTCGGCCCGTCTCTGGAGCAGTTCCTCTGGCTCATGAGGTCTGAGATGCCCAACACGGCCGAGTGGAAGACCAGGTTCCCCCGGCAGGATTTGGCGGTCCTCTGGGTGCAGGCCGAGTACGCACGTAGAGCCTTGCAGAACTCTGTGTGGAAGCCATCCACAGCTGGGGTCAGGTGGGACGTGAGGGAGACAAAGTCAGTGGTGCACTTCTGGATACGACACTGAGGGGTGACAACCTGGCACTGACCTGAGGAGAGAGAGATGCAGAACAATGTTGGAAGCATAATGTTAATACAGTGATAGACAATCAGCCAAAGCATCTGTTTAAGTATAGGCATTTGATGCATTAATAGCTGGATTTCACTGAGAATTGAAGGTTTATGTGCATGAAAGACAACTAAGATAACTGCTTTGAACTTCAACACACAAAACTACCGGCCTGTTACATTCAACCTAATAAAATTGGAAAAAGAACTGGCTGCAGGATGAAAGTCTTGATCAATCAGCCGGCTGCTCTGTGAGTGTAATAAAGCTGAAGTGTAATAAACCAAAGAGCAGCCAGAGGGAGAAGATAAAGAAGTTTTTTTTTTCCACCAGCACTGAGATAATACTGCTTGCATAGTCAGGGAACACAAAACACAAACAGTATAAAAGACACAGAGAGTAAGACAACACAAGGTGTGCCGTGCATACTAACAGACCACCTGACTTGTTCACTTTTAGTGAGATTCAGTGGTCCTTTTTGCAGGCATTGTATATGTGATCTTGTGTATAGCTTAAACACACACACACACAAAAACGGAAAAACCCATGATCATGAAATTGCATTAAACAAATGGAACTTTTAACTATATTTTTGTTTGTTGATAGATGGACACCACAGGAATGCATCCGAAAGACTCCATGTTCTACCATTTAGACAGATACGCTGGAAAAAAACAGTTTTATCTGAAAATGTCCCTGATGCTTTTAGCCAATACTACATTTCTGAATTCAACAAGGGTCAAACCAGCCTTTTATATCACAGATCATCAGAGAGAGAGGGAGAGGGAGTCAGAGCGAGAGAGAGAGATTAGAGACCAGACCTAATGCATCAGTCACAGCATGCTCCTATTAGATTAGGCTGGAGAGAGGCTCTGCAGTGTATGGGCAGCTGCACACACACAAACACACACACACACACACACAGCTTTCTTAGAAAGAATGTGAGTCGTGCTTCCATTAAAAGGCACAAACAGTTCGTGATCTTCAGATGGTGGGATGATCAAAAGCAAAACCAGAGAGAACATGTTTTTCACTGAAATCAACAGATTCTTTTAATGTCACACCATCGCTCAACAACCAGAAGTTTCCACTGACACGCACACAGCACACTTCTTTGTACATGTATTTGATTTTGGGGGCATGAAGGAGTCGAGTGCCACCATTTGGGGGCAGTAGTGTTCTGAGTTTTAGAGAACAGGGGTGCAGGTACAGACCCCCACTCACACAACGCTTCAGAATCTCTCTCCTGCCTGTTAAATACTGACACCAACCCACACAAGCCATATACACACACATACACAGACGGCCTGCCATGCCAGCAACCACTGTACAGACAGTCTGAGTACTGAGGACACATTGTGTCTTTGACTTGCGCTCCAACAGCCTCCTTCTCTCCCTCCATCTGAGCTGCAGAACCCAAATACCGCTTGCAATCTAATCAGAGCGAGTTTATTCTCTTCGAGGGTATCAGAATCATGAGCAGCACGAAAAACATACAAAAGCCCTCATTCAGAGACAGATGACGTAGCAAGAAGGGAGTTCACCCTGAAACTGATGGACCTGGGTTCAACTTGGCGGCTTATAACAAATGTTGAAACCTTTCCGAGAGCATATCTGCTTTAGTTTCCAAACATCTACAAAGCTAAGCATGCGACCCTGTAAGCACAAGTAGATTTCAAAGCACAATTTTGGTCTTGAAGGCGTCCCATCATCCTTCCTTTGTGAAGTCCTCCTCATAAGCTTCCTTTCTAAGCATGCACAGCTGTACTTTCAAAAGAAAAGCCAATCCATGCATACAAATAAGCAATTTGTGGGAACTTGAGTTGTGCTGATGAATACTGAATTGAGAAGAAAATATACTTAAGAAGAGAATAAAGAACTCCTAATGTGAGGAGATTATACACAAGGGCCATTTCACACATCTCGAGTCTGGTTTGTTTCATCCACAGGAGTACGTTTTTTAATACAGACACAATTAGAAAAACTTCCTCTAAAGTATGACGCAATATTACTCACTCGATTCCATTCTCCCAGCTGTTTTGTTCATCTCATAGGTTTCATCTTTTCTCTTACAGATTGTTCTTTCCCCTGAGTTCAAACATTTACTCCCATCAGCACTATTCTAATACAGCAGGGCTCTGATGTGTTTTAAGCCTGCAGCCCTCAGTCTGATTCCCCGGTCACCTCTCTTCATCACTTCCCGAGGCTCTCTCACTCCCATCAGACAGAGGTCAAAAGATCCTCCAGCTGGATCTCTTGGGTCGACGGCTTCGATTCTTTGTCTCCCTACCCGACAAGCCTCCAACTTCTCTGATATCTTGAGATCAAGAGAGGATCTACTGGGATCATCTCTCAAACTGAGGGAATAACTCTGTGAAGTGCTTATTGATCACCTTGTTGTGTGCACTCTAGCACAATGAGCTCAAATCACACAAACAGCACCTGCAAGCTAAGAGACACAAAGCTTCACAGGAGCAGTACAGCATGCACTCGACACTAAGAGCGAACAATAGTCCACATTCCAGACTCTTGCTCCAAACAGACACATGGAACGACAATGAAATATGAAATATGCCCAAATAATGTACAAGTTAAAACAGATAAAAACATTCTGTTTGGTAAAACGCTCAAAAATCACACACATTCTTTCCACATGACGCACGTGGAGCAGAAGGTGCCAAAAGGGTCTTTAATGTGGAGTGGGTCTCTCTGTTCCCACAAGAGAGCAGGGGCTGTTTTGTCCTGCTGCCTGTGCTGTGTTAAACTAATTACTGGAGGTGTGACTGCTCAACAGACAGCCGCCACAACAGCCGACCCCCTGCACACACAGCAACACACAGAGCAGGCTTCTGGAAAGAGGACGTTATATACATTATACATTACAAAATCCATTGTGTCTTTAACAAAGCAATGATGTGAGTCACAGTTAAACTTGACAATAATTATTGTGACATTTTAAGTTTCGATATTCCTAACAAACACCTTTGATTTTTAATAAACACATTTCTACTGAATTTAATTCTTTGTTTTTCTGTCCAGTATTTGGCTTTAATCTTGTAGTTATAATAACATTAACAATCACAGAAACAGGAGGCTGCTGTTCAGAAAAGCTTTCTTAGTGCTTATTTGTTAAGATTCTAGATTTTCTAACTTTTTTAATCATTTCTGATGCTGGATTTTTTGGATTCTCATCATGCAACTGTGGACGTAGCGCATTCAAAATCAGGTGTAAGATTTAAAACACAATTCAGCCGTGAAGCAAACTTTGAAAAATCTTTTTCCACATGGGATGGATTATGTTTTTTTTCAGTTTAGTGTTCTGATTGAAGCTGTATATTTGCTCACGAGGAGAGGTAGTCACCCACTCTTTCCTTCTCTTCCCCTCCTCCATGAGCCATTAAGGGGCAGACAGGAGAATGACGGCCCAGGAGAGAGGAGGAGAAACTCGATCCGTCCACATACTGCTGCACTGCCGCTGGAGAGAGAGCCATTGTCAGGCAGTACTTGGCCCAACACAATGATTACTAACACTTAATAACTAATAAAGTATCTCTGATGAGGTTTAATGTAACAGACTGAAGGGGAATGTTGTTACTGGTGTACTTGTTGTAGTAAACAGTAATCAGTGCGTATTTGGATAACCAAGTGCGTAAAATTGCACGTTAGTTTCTAATGACACTAGTGGTTGCAGTGGTGCGGTGTAGTTGGTTACCTAAGTGAGCTCCGCAGCAGAGAGCGATGATCAGCAGCAGCAGTGGCCGGAAACGGCGCAGCAGAGACGGGGAGGCGAGGCGCTCAGCCCCGCGGCAACAGCATCCGGCTCTCCCCATCCCCGTCCATGCAGGGCCAGGAGGGGAGAGAGCACAGACCTTCGAGGGGCGAGGAAGGGTGGTGTCCAGGCCTTCTCACTTCTTCTTCTTCTTCTTCTTCTTCTTCCTCTTCTTCCTCACTCTTCTCTCCTTCCTCTCCTCCTCGGGTGCGCAGGGGCATTAAAACACAGCTGCTCCGCGGAATGCAGGGCGGAGGGGGAGGAAAGGCAGAGAGAGGAAAAACAAAAGTAGACGCAGAAGTCCCTCCGACAACACTTTTACTTGACAAATCCACGCGAGCAAGTGATAAAAGTGCGCGACCTCCACGGGTGGACTTTTGCCTCGATTGGGATCACTCCGTGCTTTGCTTTCTCGTCCCAAACACGCACAATCACATCTCTCTCTTCCTCAGCAGGCCGGGGTTTCTGCTCCACTCCTCCCCTTTCACTTTCTCCTCCTCCTCCACTGCTCCCCCGACAAATCAATGGAGAATCAACCAAACGCTGTAGGCGGAAAACCCGCCTATTACCAACCCCAAGCATACACACTCACACGGGGAGAAAGAGAGTGAGGGTCTAACAAGTAGGCCTTATGAAGAAGCAGCAGATAAAAGTAGAAAAACGTTGGTGAGATGCCATTCAACCTTTAAATAGAAGGGAGTTATGGCTTTCCGATGTTGTGCTGCCAAGATTTTTATTTGGCTGAGATAGAATGATCAACATAGCCTATTTTCTTATGCGTTTGTTTCTTATCGCGATGTCTATTAAAACATTTAGGGTGCTACTATTGCTTTATCTAATAGGCCTCCCACAGCAACTTATATTTCAAATGATAACCACAATCAATCACTATAGTCATCATAAGCATTGTTGTCTTAAACATTTTAAGAAATGCTTTATTGTGTAGAAAAGAGACAAATATTTGAAGTGAACTATAGCTCAAATATTTTAATCAGATTCCACTGGAGTCACAAACTGTCCCGTAACCCAACTTTGTTTGTACAGAGAGATAAAATAAACACTCTTCATTATCCAAGACCGAATACATAAAAATCATGTTATATGTCCAGAGCAAATCAACTTCCATGACTAATGTTTGATGGTTGAGGAACCATATTGTAGAACACAATAGGCTTCCTTCTTATTATATTATAGGCTAACTATTGTCTTAGTGTCCTTGTTTTTTTTAATGCACAAGCTTCTCCAAACTAAATGCCTCGGTAGTGGGATAAAAAAAGATGTCCATCCATCCATTTTCTTCAGCTTATCCGAGGTCGGTCAACCCAGACTTCCCTCTCCCCAGCAACGCTTTCCAGCTCCTCCTGGGGGATTCCAGGGCTTTCCCAGGCGGGATATAATCCCTCCAGCGAACTCTGGGTCTATCCCGGTGTCCCAGTTTGGCATGCCCTAAAACCTCCAAAAGGACGCGGCCAGGAGGCATCCTAATCAGATGCCCAAACCACCTCAACTGGCTCCTTTCGATGCGAATGTCTGAGCTCTTCACCTTATCTCTAAGGCTGAGCCCAGCCACCCACTGAAGGAAACTCATTTCGGCCGCTGGTATCTGCGATCTTATTCTCTACCCATAGCTCATGACCATAGGTGAGGGTTGCAACAAAGATCAACGATAAATCGAGAGGTTTGCCTTCAGGCTCGGCTCCCTCTTCATCACAATGGTCCGGTACAACGCCTGCATTACTGCTGACTCCGAGCCAATCCGTCTGTCAATCTCACGGCCCAATGCCTGCTGGAGGTCCCAGCCAAAAAAACCACATCATCTGCAAAAAGCAGAGATGACATTTTGAGGCCCCCAAACTGGATCAACAACACTGAAGAGGCGTGTCAGCCAAGACAGACCAACAATGTCCAGAGCCTTTAGCATCTTGGGTCGAATCTCACCCACACCTGGCGCCTTGCCACTGAGGAGCTTCTAACTGCCTCAGTGACCTCTGCCAACCTCGTGTTGCCTGTGTTCAGAAGTTCCTCAAAGTATTCCTTCCACTGCCCAACAATGTTCCCCAGTCACCAGCACTTTTTGGGTTTGCCAGGTCTTTCCGGAAGCCTTCCTTGCCATCTGTTCCAAGTCACCACCAGGTCAGTTGACAGCTCTGCTCCTCTCTTCACCCAAGTGTCCAAAACATACGGCCACAGATCTAAAGAAACAACTACCAATCTTTGGCCTTGGGTGTTCTGGTACCAGGTACATTTATGAACATCCCCATGTTCAAACGTGGTGTTTGTTATGTCCAATCCATGATTAGCACAGAAGTCCAACAACAAAACACCACTCAGGTTCAGATCAAGAAGGCCGTTCCTCCAAATCACACACCTCCAGGTGTCTACATCGTTGCCCATGTGAGCGCTGAAGTCCCCCAGTAGAACTACAAAGTCCCCAGGGGGATCCCCTTCCAGGACCCCACCCAGAGACACCAGGAAAGGCGTGATCTCCAAACTGCTGTTGGGTGCATTTAACCTCTGAGCCTTCCTCTCAGCAACCTGAAGTCCCAGAGAGTTAACCCTATCGTTAACCGGGGAAAACTCCAACACAGCTGAGTCGGGTTCTTGTGAGTATCCCGACAACCACCCGGCGCCTCTCACCTGGGTAACTCCAGAAATGGAAAGGAGCAGCCCCTCTCCAGGAGTTTGGTTCCAGAACCGGTGCTGTGTCTTCAGGTGAGCCCAACTATATCTAGCGCTCCACCTCCCGCAAAGCTCCGGCTCCTTCCCCGGCAGAGAGGGGCGTTCCACTTCCCGAGAACTTGTCTGTGCCGCCGGGGATTAGCATGCCCACGCCGACCCCCATGCCTCTCTTGACCCCTTAGTTTGATTGATTAGTGTATCCATACATAACAAAACTCCAATTATTTAATTCTTATGATGTTTGCTCATTATGAGACTGAACATGTTCATGCACCCACACCAAAAACAAAACACATTAAAACAGAGAATAACACAATAATCTGGAGAGTCCATGTTGATTTGCAACCCTGGAATTGATCACTTTTAATACAGGATGAATTCCTGTTTTCCTCACAGACATCATTTTGCTGCATGAAGTCTTTAATTTCTTTGATCCACTGTCCAAATGAGCTTGATATTTTTCAAGGAGAAAAGTTCTTAATTGGGCAGATATTCACTATCCATTTAATGGCTAACTCCATGTTTGATTTCTTTCTATAAACTTTCTAATGACACCCTCTGGAAGTATTTATCAAACTTTTAACTTTAATAAAATGAATGATGTTGCAGCTGAAACAAGTTGTGCAACAACCCTCCTCTGCATCCAACAGGAAAAGGTTTATCTCTCCTAACTTAATTGGAAAAAGACAAACATAGTAAAGGTAAAGGGAGTTCCTGTGCGACTGAAAACAGTCCAGACATAAACAGACACCAAACTGTTCACACGGTAACAGTCGTAAATTTGAACAGTCAGAGCTGCAGGAGGTAGGAGGTGAGCAGACGGTGTAAACAGCCTCTGGCCTTAAAGACATTGAACACTGCACACTGTTATATTTCAACATAAGCAGTGCCTTTGCTATTGTTCTCTCCACCTACACTATCATTCATTAATGAATAACTCTCTGCAAATTGTTGAATTGATTTCTTATTAACTTTTTATTACAGAGAAGTTAAACCTTCAAACTCCTCTATTCTTGAGCTGGAAAGGTTTCAAAGACAGTTCTGAAGTATCCATGCATCTAGATTACTATATTTTTTTATTAATTGTGCAGATACACATTGTGTTTGTTCTTGTATTTCTCTGGAAGCTTGTTCGGATACTTGTGTTTGCAGGACTGTTTATGCTAAAGCAGTAATCCTCTGCCCCCCCGACCTGCTGTGCCACACTAGCCTGCTAGTATGTGTGTATATGTGCATATGTGTGAAAATATGTGACTGTATGGTGTGTGTGTGTGTGTGTGTGTGTGTGTGTGTGTGTGTGTGTGTGTGTGTGTTGTACAGCAAACAGAGTGTCCTTGTGGCTGATATTTTATGTGGTGTGTGTCATAGCCGGGTACTTTCACTTTAAATGACTCAACCAGTATGCACACTCACATCGCTGTCTTGTGTGACTTACTGCTGATTGTGTCAGTAAACACACAAGGGTTTGACACAAAATGTGTCCAACAGAAATGACATGAGCAACTCAAACAGAATCTGAACAATTTCGATGAGTAACTGTCTTAACTGTACTGACGCTCTGCCACTACATGAGTACAGTTTTAAGTACTGTCACTTTTCTTAGGCAGTTCCAGTCGATACTTCTTTATAGTTCAACTCCACATCAATTAAGAGACTGAAACATTGACGTTCTACTTCTTTATAATTCATTACACAGCTGAATTTACTTGATACTTTTTAGATTCAATTTATGATCACTTTCCCAAAGCAATGAGAAATGTACACTACAATAAATAGTTAGAATATTCTCCACTTCACATTCACTATGTGTTGCATTCATGTTAATGCATTAGAGGCACTATCAATAACAGAGTAACACTGTCCTGTAAACAGGGGACTTCTGCTTCTTAAGATATATAATAAAATATGTTTAAATATGATTGTTAATCTGCTGTTGACTGTTAAATACTGGCACAATCATCCCCAACAAACAATGTCTTTGCAGTTTTATAAACCTTCATAAAGTAGTGGAAAATAATCAGTTTGGTCTTTGGAAGACAGGATAAGAGAAACACAGTTTACAGTATCTTTTGACCAAATTACAAAGACATGTTTATGAGGAAAGAGTTGGGTCAATGTAGGTACACAAATGTAAAGAACACATTATATAATTGAAATCCCCTTTATAAGACATTTTGATCAAGAAATGCCCCATATTGGGGCGCTGGTGGCGCAATGGTTAGTGCGCACGCCCCATGTATTGAGCACCCCACTCTCTCTCCCTAGTTTCCGACTCTATCCACTGTCCTATCTTTCCATTAAAGGCACAAAAAGCCCAAAAAGAAATCTTAAAAAAAAAAAAAAAGAAATGCCCCATATTATACCTTAAGTGTGTCCATACCACCATTATCAACGTTAAATGGGGGAGAGAATATCTTTTGGAGGATGGTGACTTCTCTCATAGACGTCTACAAAGAGGGAGAAACAATGCTCATAACTTATTCTAAAATAAAAACCAACGAAGACATTAAAAGCGTATTTTCCCCTTCATTTTCCAGCCAGCTGTGCAACCTGGACATGAGCTATTGAGACCAGATTTAAAAAGCAGATATCTCACAGTTAAACCTCTGTGACCTGTTAGCTCTCTCGAGTAGGAAGCAGATGAACGTTTCATTTACATAAACACAGAACAGTTAATTCAATTATGTGTGTGCATATGGTGCTATTCATTATGACTAATATCATATTTCATTCCAATCATCCATCCACCTACACACACACACATCTGGATACCATATGATCCGATCCATGTTGTTTAATTC